GGCACAGGGAGGAGCAGGGACAGCACCTCACAGCTAACCCCAGTCCATGCTCCACGTGGAGTCCCAACAAAGGCTGCTCTGGTGTGGCCGCACCTCAACTCGATGAGCCTGCGCTTCTCTGAGAAGTGAGGACCAGGGAGCGCTGGAATGTGTGTGGGAACTTGGACAGAGGAGGCCATGCTGGCTCCCCAGGGCCCTGCCGAGGGATGAGTTGGGAGAAGGCCAGAGGCCAGGAGGATGGGAGGGACCACAGTGCTGGACTGGGTGCCTGGCAGGATGGCATGGGAAGGACACAATCCTGAGTCCAGAACCTGCTCCACCTCTTCCCCGCTGTGTGACCTTGGACAGGTTATTGAACTCACAGATGCCGGTCTGTAGAACAGGGTTGTCCCTGTCATTGCTGCGGACTGTCGTGAGAATCACAGCTGATGTATATGGAGGGGCTGCCCCATAGTAGGTGCTCAAAAACGGTTGTACTTGATTCAGAAGGAGAGTGGAGAGGGGCCAGGGGGTCACTGGGCTGTGGTTACTGTGCTCTGAGTCGGGGGAAGGAGGCTCTGCTGAGGACAGAACAGCCTGGGGACAGGGGAGCTGGAGACCCTGGCACAGGACCCCAGGGATGACCAAAAGGGCAGGAGGCTTCTCCTGGCCTGGGGTGAGAAGCAAAGGATGATGGAACTTGGACTCCCTCTCCTGAGGGACGCTGGCTCTAGGTCATGGCGTGCCCACAATGTGCAGTTAACTGGATTTGGCTTTGGGATACAGAATTTCTCAAGCCAGGGGTAGATGGGACAAGGTCCCTGGCCCTCAAAGCTCTTTTCTTTATTATTTTATTTCATTTTGGTACTCAGCGATGCTTTACCACTGAACACGTCTCCAGCCCTTTTTATTGTTTATTTTGAGACAGGGTCTCGCTACACTGCTTAGGGTCTCACTTAGTTGCTGAGGTTGGCCTTGAACTTGCAGTCTTCCTGCCTTCTCCTCTGGAGTCACTGAGTGGGAGGGCACCCAGTGACTGTCACATAACACATTGGTTCCCTTCGTTCCTGTTTTCTCTTTTCCTTCCCTGCCTCTTGCTTCCTCCTGATCCCTGCCAGAGGTTCTGGGGGATGAGGATCAGAAAAGACCAGTGCAGAAAGGGCCATGGCCCCAGAGAGGACTGAATTCCTGCATCTGAACTCTGGGATCAAATCCCAGTCCCACCTTCCCTGCCTAGGGGTACCGGTCAGGGTTCTTCAGAGAGACAGAACCAGTAGGCGATGGGTGGATGGGTGGATGGATGGATGGATGGGTAGATGGATGGGTGGGTGGGTGAATGGATAGATAGATGGGTGGATGGATGTATAGATGGATGGATGGGTGGGTGGATGGATGGGTGGATAGATGAGTGGATGGGTGTGTGGGTGTGGGGGTGGGTGGATGTGTGGATGGATGGATGGATAGATGGATGGGTGGGTGGATGGATGGGGATAAGTTTTTAGGGGACTTCAGCTCATGTCATTCTGGAGGCTGAGAAGTCCCAGGACAGGACAGGCTGGAAAGGCAGGGGAGTGGGTAACGTGGCTCAGTTCCAGTCCAGACAGCTCTGAACCAGGGGAGCCCATGATGTGCCTCCCAGAGCCAGAAGGCTAGAGAACCTGGAATTCTCATGTCTGAGGACAGAAGAGGTCTCAGCTCCAGATGCAGGAGAGCCAGCTGATTTGCCTTTCTTCTGCCCTTTTGTCCTGTCCCGGCCCTGGGCTGACTGGGCCCACCCTGGGTGAGGACAGATCTTCCTTTCCCAGTCCTCTGCTTCAGGCCTCCATATGAATGCTGCTTTGCCTGCCATCTGGGTGTCCCTCACCGAGGCCACGTCCACACCTAACGTTAGCTGTCACTAAGCCCCCTTGGGCAGGTAGCTTTGGGGCTCCTTGATTGGCCATGGGAACCCCCAATCCCATGCTGGGGATCAGACCCTGGCCTTGCACATGCTCCACAAGTGCTGTGCCACTGAGCCACACCCCCAGCTGTTGTGATATCGAGTTCCACATGAAGTGCTCTGCACAGTGCCTGGACCAGTCCAGCCCTCGACACCTGCTGGCCACCACCATTACTAGCACACGGGTGGCCTCCTGTCCTACTGCCCTGGCTAGCTTTCCCGTGCCACCTGGTCAGCCTCTTTAACAGTCACATCCCTGAGCCTGTGGGTTCTTGTCTACAGTAGAACCTGCCAGATGGGGTTGGTTGAACACCAGCTGCTGTTAATATAAGATAAAGGTTTCCAGGGTCACCATAGCCTTATGACCACTGGTGAGAAAAATCAGATGGGCTTTGTGCCCACTTGATGAGCTGAAGAAAGTTGATTGGGTCCCCAACTTGGCCTCAGGGAGTGCCAGATACCAGCCACATCAGGTGCGCTCTTCAGGGACAGCTGTTGATTGCCATTCAGAAGGACACAGCATTTGACCAGAGGGAGCTTCTCGCCTGCTCCCAGGGTGGAGGAGGCAGGGGTGGGATGATGCATCTGGTCATGGAGCACTGGGGATACACAGCCTGCCTCCCTGACTCTTCTCTCGGACCCTGCCTGCCTACCTTCCTGAGCCCGTCCCTGTGTAGACCCAGCCCAGGGCTGCAGTGAGAGAGCCTGAGTCTACTGTGGGCTTCATACTCACATCTCGTCTCATCCTGAAGTCAGATCATTTCACAGAATGGCCCAGAGAGTCTGTGTGAATTACCCACAGGCACACAGCAGATTAGAATCGGAGCAGTGACCTGACAGCTGGAGCAGTTTTCACTACACGTGCTCCTTCAGCTGAGAGCCGGGAAGCTGGTCACCTGCTGACCCCAAGGATCGACCCCAGCAGGTCCCATCTGCTCTGTGCCTGGACTCCTTGTCTGGACAAGGAGGAGAGTGGTCCCAGCCATGGGGAATTCCCTTCTGACCTGCATGCCCCATCCTAGCTGCATGGTGCCCCTTCCCCAGGCTGAGAGTGCATGTTCCTTCCTGGTCCCTGACCCTCACCTCTCGTCTGACACAGGCTGGAGGGGGTTTTGAAGCACATGCTCCACTTCCACAGGCAAAATTAAAAGAGCACAGAATGATATAAAGTAAGAAGTGCCCCTCCTACCCTGTCCCCTACGCTCCAGTCCCTTGAACGTGACCACCGTTACCAGTTTGCTTTGCCATCTTCTAAATCTTCTCTGTTGGTCCATCCATTGCATACTGCGCTCGTTTTGCTTCAGTGGTATGACGTGGGGAGGGCTCCACTCAGTGCCAGAGCGCTTGGCACAGGCCTGCACTTGACTTAGCCCGTGCCCTGGAGGCAGGTACTTGGGTTGATTCCAGCCTTCGGCGCTGACCAGCGCTGCTGCAGTAAATAACCCTGTGTATCTCGGTGCGACCTGTGGCTGGGCGGGAAATTCCTAGAAGTGGTACTGCAGGGCGGAGTGTGTGCCGAAGAAAACTGTACCAATAACTTGATCCCTCATGTTCTGCCAAGTCACTTCCCCACTACCACAGGCGGGAGGCACGCTGCTGGGGTTCACTTTCATTCCCATGAGGCACGAGGAGGCCGTACATGGTTGTCGCTGGGAAAAGAGCACCAGGCCCTGGACAGACAGGGAGACCAAGGCCAGGGAAAGGGACATCTTTGGCAATGATCCTCATGGGTGGGTACCACCTGCCCTGAACCTGAGGGCCAGCTTCTGCTAAGGGTCAGGGATCCCCTGGTCAGCCTCTTTAACAGCCACAGCCCTGAGCCTGAGCCTGTGGGTTCTTGGACTACTTAGCTGGACTGAATCTTGCACACCCCACCCTCTCTGAGCAACCTCACTGGTCAGGATCCTCAGTCCCCGATCTGCAGCACAGAGATGGGGAGGTGACCCAGAGTAGAACCAGGGTCCAGCTGGAGGCCAGCAGCTCCTAGTGCCGGAGAGCCTGGCTTGGAAGACCAGGGCCTGGTCCTCCATGTCCTGTCTTCTCACTATTGAGCCATGCTTGCTTGGGGCGGCAGCAAGGCCTGGTGGGGGAGGGGAGTGCCCCCGGCCCCGGGGCAGCACATGGCCTAGATTGGACAATGGTGATGCCAGCTGACAGATCCAGGGCAGCCACAGCCACCCCAGACGCTGTACAGATCACAGTGGTCTGACCCGTGGGCCAAGGGGTCCTGTGCCCTAGATGCTCAGACTTACAAGCTGCTGATGGGTGCTGCGGGGGCTGCTGATGGGGGCTGCAGGGGCTGGTATGAAGGCCACCAGGGGAGTGCTGATGGCTGGTGGCCCTGCGGGGGTGAGAGAGAGCCTGCTGCCAGCCTCCCAGGGAGCGTGGGTTCTAGCTGCCGGTAGAGAGTTGGGGGGCTTTAGGGCCAAGACCAGGCACTGCACTGGCTGGAGGGGTTTTTGAAGCCCAGGGGGGTGGTTCTGGGGAGGGGTTTTGGGGCCTAGCGCAGGGACCCAGCTGGGTCACTGTGGGAACGCTGAGGGGAAAGCTGGTAGGGCCACACAGAGCCCAGCAGCCCCATCTGAGAGGGCAGGGTTGAGAAGCCCGCTGGGAATCCCCAGGGGGCCCTGCAGGATGCCAGCCTCAGGGACAGCCTGTGGGATATGCACAAAGATCAGCCTGAGGCTGGCTGCCAGGAGCTGTGCGTGTCTGTGACATAAACCACAGATTCACACAGCGCGAGTACACAGTATGTGGCTGTCACTAACTGCAGGGGTCCAGGAGCTCTGGAAGGGAAACAGGCGCTGGTTCTGGGGTTGGGGTTCTGAGAGGACCACCCAGAGGAGCTGGATGGACTTGGGGAGGAGGATGGAGCAGGTGTGGGGGAGATGGGGAGGCCGGCACAGGGCGCTACAGGTTGAATATTGGGGTTACCTTAGGGATGGAGAACCTTTTGCTGGGCAGGAAGCCCCCATTTCAATCCAAGGTTGCCCTCCCTCATTCTTCAACAGGCTGGGGACTCGAGTCTGGAAGGGGGGATGGGGGACTTTCCTTACCCCCTTGTGTCCCCTCTGCCCTCCAGTGCATGAGCCACAGAGCCCGCTAGCCACAGTGTCACAACTGCTCATCTCCCCACGGCCACACCATGTCTGGTTCCTACGATGAGGCCTCTCTGGCTCCGGAGGAGACCACTGATAGCTTCTGGGAGGTGAGTGTTTGATGATCCCTATGTCCTGGGGACCAGACCACCCGGATGTGGAAGGCCAGGCCCCTGCCCATGCCTCCAGCATTGGCCCCTAGCCCCCAGACTCCTCCAAAACCCTCAGTGTTCACCTGGGGTGAGACTGCTGTTCATGGATCCCAGAGCCCCTCTGCCCTCTCGCACTACCTCCAGGGACCCTGTGACCTTTCACAGTGTGGAAACAGGCTCCTCCTGACTCTCTGCTCTGGGGGCTCCAGGTTTCCGCAGCTTCCAGAAGTATGTGATACTTGGGGGGAAAAACTGCTTTTGGCTCCTGAAACGCAAAACGAAAACTGCCAGACCTAAATTAATAAGTGTTTAATGAGATGTCTACAAAACATAATATTGTGTCAAGAAGCTGCAGCTCAACTCAATGCTTATATGACTCTGTATAAATATAATAGATTTAGCTTCGCAAGAGCAAAATGAATAATTCATTCTAGCCCAAGTCCAAATTATAAAATTCCTTCTGCATTCGTGACAGTGAGATTGTGCTTGAAGTGGGATGCGGGTGCGCAGGGTTGGCGGGGTGTGATGCGGGTGTTGGGACCCCCCCACCCCCCGCAAGTGAGAGAGTCCGGAGCCACGGGCGCGAGCTTGCTGGAGGCTGGGGCGAGGCGGGCGCCCCCTGCAGGGCAGGGCCGAGGTGGCAGGAGCGGCGGGAGTCACGCGCGCTGCTTGACCACCAGGTGGGGAACTACAAGCGGACCGTGAAGCGCATCGACGACGGCCACCGTCTGTGCAACGACCTGATGAACTGCGTGCAGGAGCGCGCCAAAATCGAGAAGGCGTACGCGCAGCAGCTCACCGACTGGGCCAAACGCTGGCGCCAGCTCATCGAGAAAGGTGCCTCTAGGACCGTCCCCAGCGCAGTTCCAGACCCTGGTCACCGCCCCCAGCGCAGTTCTAGACCCTGGTCACCGCCCCCGCAAGGGCGGGTCGCGGGAGCAGCCACCTGGAGGCGCCCTACGTCCTCTAGCCACCAGGGCCTTTTCAGGGCTGTACCCTCCTAGACCAAACCAGGCCTCCCGGTTCAGCTCTTTTTAGTTACCTTTTGTATTAAGTTTCTAGAAAAGTTGCAAACCACAGTTCAGAGCAATCCTAGGCACCCTTCGTGTAGTCACCACCTCTCTCTGCCAATCTATTGGTTTGTATTTCTTTTTTTTTTTTATTAATATTTATTTATTTTTTAGTTGTAGTTAGATCCAATACATTTATTTCATTCATGTATTTTTTATGTGGTGCTGAGGATTGAACCCAGGGCCTGGAGCATGCTAAGCAAGTGCTCTATGCTGAGCCACAACCCCAGTCCCTGCATATTTTTTTCTGAACCATTTGAGAGGAAGTTGGAGCCATCATCCCCCCTAAATTCTGCATGTAGGGCCAAGAACAAGAATATTCTTGTTTGTCCAGTTACCAAATCTGGGACATTTAATGGCCCCTAAGTAAATTTGACTATAGCAATGGTACAGGCTGGTCCACGGTGGAAGCCACAATCACGCATTATGTCTAGTTGTCAAGTCTTTAGAGTCTAGATTCCCGTCACCCAGAACAGTTTCAAGTTGAGGTCTACACACATTCGTGAGTATTTTTCTCTCCCACTAGACTCTCAACTCCTGAGGGCAGGGCTGAGCCTGTACCCCATAGTACAGTGCCTGGCCGGTGCCAGTATGCAGGAACAAAGGTGAATGCCTGGTCCCCGTGACCTTCTGGCATTGTCACAGTGGGTTCTTGATTTTCCCATTCAGCAACCCTCTAGAGCACCTGCTGTGCGCCTGACACTGTGTGGGGCTTTTGGACACTTGGGGAGCCTTGGCCACCCTGTGGGGCTCATGTGCTGATGCAGGAGACACTGAGTGGGTACAGGGCAGACGCTGCCCAAGGAACCAGTGGGGCTACAGAGGGGTGTGAAGGCCGAGAATCAAAGATGGCATCCTAGAGGTGGTGGCTGTGTTGGGGCCCTGGAAGGTGGATAGAATGTAGGGAGAGCAGAGGGGGGCGATTCCATAGCCACAGGAAGGAAGTGAAAGGCCTAGACAAAGGTTTGAGGGGGCCACCAGGGAAAGGGTAATGGGTCCTCATTGGTGCGGCCGTTCCCTAGGCCCACAGTATGGCAGCCTGGAGCGGGCCTGGGGTGCCATAATGACAGAGGCGGACAAGGTGAGCGAACTGCACCAGGAGGTGAAGAACAACCTGCTGAACGAGGACCTGGAGAAGGTCAAGAACTGGCAGAAGGACGCCTATCACAAGCAGATCATGGGCGGTTTCAAGGAGACCAAGGAGGCTGAAGATGGCTTCCGCAAGGCCCAGAAGCCCTGGGCCAAGAAGATGAAGGAGGTGCCCACATGGGGTGGGGGTGGGCAGCATGGTCAGGGCTGCCGGTCGCAGGGAGGGTGTCTGTGCAGGGGGCAGGCAGTGCACTGCCCTTAGGGACTGTGCACAGGGCTGAAGCACCCATGTCCAGGAAGAACAGATGGGTGGCCAGTGCCCAATGGGTAGAGAGACCCATGGAGAAGGAGACTGTCCTCAGGCAGGGGTAGGAGGGTGCACTGCCCCCTGGATCCACAGATCCAGGGCGTGCTCTGCATTACCTGACTGACAGGACGGTGCCTGCAGGAACACACTGTTCCTGAATGCCTGGAGCCAGGGCTGTGTGCTCCCAGCTCCCCAGGAGTGGGCAGTGGGCGGAGCTGATGATTTACCATATTTACTCCTGCTGACCTGTGGGAGCCCTGTCCCCTGCCTCCCCTGCCCACAGCTGGAGGCGGCCAAGAAGGCCTACCATTTGGCCTGCAAAGAGGAGAAGCTGGCCATGACCCGGGAGATGAACAGCAAGACAGAGCAGTCGGTCACACCTGAGCAGCAAAAGAAGCTGCAGGACAAAGTGGACAAGTGCAAGCAGGACGTGCAGAAGGTACTGCTGGGCTGGGGGTGGCAGCAGGGACCTGAGGGCCATGAGTGGGTGGTGGCTGGGAGCTGCAGATCTGGCAAGGTCTCACCACCCTCCGTCTGGGTGCCTGCAGACTCAGGAGAAGTATGAGAAGGTGCTGGAAGATGTTGGCAAGACCACGCCCCAGTACATGGAGGGCATGGAGCAGGTATTTGAACAGTGCCAGCAATTTGAGGAAAAGCGGCTGGTCTTCCTCAAGGAGGTGCTGCTGGACATCAAACGACACCTCAACCTGGCTGAGAACAGCAGGTACCTGGGCAGGATGGGCACGCAGGGCACAGCACAGCTGGCATGTGGGTGTTTCAGGCCCAGTGACAGGAAGGGGAGGGCAGAGCTGTAGGGGCCACGGGAGAGATGTGTACTAAGCACCCAAGAAACATACACCTGGGTGGGCGGGTGAGTGGCTGAGGTGGAGTGGAGGAAGGAGCCTGCTGGAAAGCCTGCTTGATTCCTGACTGGGGGCGTGCCCAGTGCCCCCGCCCCCTGCATAGAACGAGATAAGGCCATGGTGAACCTGTGCCCTCCAACTCTCCCATCTCCCTTCATACAGCTACATCCATGTGTACCGTGAACTGGAGCAGGCCATCCGGGGGGCTGATGCCCAAGAGGACCTCAGATGGTTCCGCAGCACCAGCGGCCCTGGCATGCCCATGAACTGGCCCCAGTTTGAGGTGTGTGGGAATATGGGAGAGGAGCCTGGAAAGACCAAAAGGGGCCTCAAGCACAACCTCTGAGCCTAACTGTTCCCTGTCCCCCAGGAGTGGAACCCAGACCTTCCCCACACCACTGCCAAGAAGGAGAAGCAGCCCAAGAAGGCAGATGGAGTGGCACTGAGCAATGCCACGGGGGCAGTGGAGTCCACCTCCCAGGCTGGGGACCGTGGCAGGTGAGTGTCTCCCATGGAGCTCCTGAGGAGTCAAGAAATGGTCTAGATCATAGCAAGCATGTCTCTTTTAAAAGAGAAGATGCAAGCCGGGCACGGTGGCACACACCTGTTATTCCAGACACTTGGGTGGCTGAAGCAGGAAGATTTAAAGTTGAGGCTATCATCAGTAACTTAGCAAGACCTTTCCTATTAAAAAAAAAAAAAAAAAAAAAGGCTGGGGCTGGAGTTGTGGCTCAGCCATGGAACACTCGCCTCCCACATGTGCCGCCCCGGGTTCAATCCTCAGCGCCACATAAAAATAAATAAATAAATAAAGGTATTGTTTCCAACTATAACACACACACACACACACACACACACACACATATATAGTTTAGTTGTAGTTGACACAACACCTTTATTTCAGTTGTTTATTTTTTTATGTGGTGCTATGTAACTCAGGGGTAGAGCATCCTGGGTTCAATTCCCAGTACCAAAAATAAGTAAACAAAATGTAGAAGTATTGATCCTAGATATCTGCTGGGTGTCAGTGGCCACTCCTCTAAGCATTTTCCTTATGTTAATTGATTCAAGCCTTCTACCACTTTGGGAAGTGTGTAAATATTCCCATTTGACAGGTGGAGAACCTGGAACCCAGAGAATTTAGGTGACTTACCCAAGGTCACACAGCTAGTTAGTAAACCTCGGAGCCAGGAAATGATGCCAGGAAGTTTGGCTTCAGCATCCTGGCCCTTGAAACATTAGGAGGTGTTTTTCCTTTCAGATGAAGGGTCAGCCACTTTTCTGGGATCCTCTTTAGAATAAATAAATAAATAAAAGAGCCGAAATAATAATGCAGATGGCCCTGCCTCAGTTCGCTTTTGAGCGGTCCTGAGAGTCACCGGCTCCAGACCCCTTCCCATGCGGCCGATCCCCGCTCCAGGCTTGGTGGACCATGGGGCTCCAGTCTGGTTAGGAGGAGGGGGCTAACACTAAGGACGCAGCTGGGCCCACTCTTGAGGGGTCCTCCCTCTGCGTCTCAGCGTTAGCAGCTACGACAGAGGGCAGCCCTACGCCGCCGAGTGGTCGGACGACGAGAGCGGGAACCCCTTCGGGGGCAATGAGGCCAACGGAGGCGCCAACCCCTTCGAGGATGACACCAAGGGAGTGCGCGTGCGGGCGCTCTACGACTACGATGGCCAGGAGCAGGACGAACTCAGCTTCAAGGCGGGTACGGTGGGCGGGGGCGGAGCCTAAAGTCGGAGGCGGGGCTTGGGAAGAAGCCTGGGCCTGGATTGGGTGGGGCGAGGGCGGGGCCTGAGACAGGGTGGCGAGGATTTGCGAGAAGTGCGCTGGGGCGGAGCCTGGCGCGGGGGCGGGGTCGAGAGCTGGTTAGGTGGTGGCTGAGGTAGGTCCCGGCCTCTCGCTCCAGGAACGGCGCGTGGATGTTGGGTGGGGACAGGGGCGGGGTCGTGGCCAGAATCTAAGCCCAGGTAAACAATCGGAGCATTGGAGCAATAGTGGGGTGGAGGCCCTGAAGGGCTCGCCTGGCCGCGAGTTTACTGAGGGAGGCGCGGCCCCTCTCTGAGCTCCTGTCCTTGTCAACAAGCTCCTGTGTGTGTTCCCTTCCCAGGAGACGAGCTCACCAAGCTGGGCGAGGAGGATGAACAGGGCTGGTGCCGCGGGCGTCTGGACAGTGGGCAGCTGGGCCTCTATCCCGCCAACTACGTGGAGGCCATCTAGCTGCCCTGCTGGTTCCTCTCCCCTTCACTCTGCACCCACCGCCTCCCCTTCCTTCCCACTCTCGTCTCCTCCCCCTCGCCATAGAGTTCCAGACATATTTTCCGATCAAGCTTTTATTTTTTTAAAAGTCTAAACAGAACAAAACAAAAAAATACAAAGAGACAGAGCATTTGCAGGGCCACCTGGAGGCCAGGGTGGTGGGGCTTGGGACAGGATGGCCCCAGGGTGGGTGAGGGTCTTAGGACTTAGCCCAGCATCACAACATCTGCTCTTCAGAGTCCACCAAAGAGTCTCCTGAGCCCTGAGGGACATCTTCTGGACCCTTCTACCCTCCTCACCCCACCCTACCCCACCCCAGACTACCAGTACTGTCCTTGTTCTCTGAGCCTGGCTTCCTAACCTCTTCTTCCTCCTCACCCCCACCCCCTTCCACCACTACCCCACTCTCAAAGGCCTCCCCTCAAGACCCCAAGAAGGGAGGCCTCCCAATCTTTAGTCTTCCACTGTGCCCCAGGAGTGCCCTCCTCTTCCTTGCCCCATCCCTTGGGATCAGTGGGACTACTGGAGAAATGGTCACCCTCCTTCCCCACAGAGGTTTCCAGGGGTCCCCAGACTCTCCCAGACATGAAGAGGGGTGAGCTGGAGGAAGTGACATTGTCTCTGGAGAACAGGAAGGTGAGTGAAGGGAGAGTGGGCCCTCAACCTGGCCCATGCCAGCCCTCCCAACACCGGGTCCATCTGGAGGACCAAGACCCTGTCTGGGCCCTTCTTTCTGGCTATCAGCACTGTGGGCACTCACCCTTCCTCAGAGCCACACCCCTTGATAGCTTGCAAAGACCCTGCCCCCTCCCACAAGTCCTTTGGCACAGGGCAGGGGCCCCCCAATCCAGGACAAAGCCAGCAACAGTAGCAGCCTCCTCCCATTTCCTGGGGAGAAGGGCATCTTGCCTGCCCCTACACCCTCCCTCCGTGTTCATCAAAACTATAGGGTCACTAGGCTCATCTTGGGCCCCCGTAAAACCAAGGCTGGTGCCTGCAAGGCTCCTGGCGTAACCACCCCTCTCTCCCCTCTCCTGTCCTGCCTGGGGAGACACACTGGGGGCCCATGGGAGCTTCCAGCCTCAGACTCACAGGAGAAAGCCTGCAGCTGAGCTTGGTAGGAAGGAGGCATCCCGGCCCTCAGGAGCAGGGTGGTCTCCAGTCTTTCCTCCTTGTCCTCCCAGCTCCCTAAACTCCCCCTGCTGGCAGCACCCCAACTGTCCAAACAGGGTCCCGATTAAAGGACTCTGGGTGTGGGAGGGGACAAAGGGTCCTTCTGTTCAGTGAGAGCAGTGGTGCAGAGTGCCAGCCTCTCCCTTGGGGTGGGGGGTGTAGGGGGAGCTTGAGGACAAGACCAGGTTGACAAGGCCCCCAAAGTTGGATGAGTAGAAAAGTCTAGAGGAAAAGTCTCTTGGAAATCTCTGGGGCGAGGCCCTCAGAAGTCCTGCTGCCCTGGGCAAGGCTTGCTCACAGCTGGTGCCACTTCTAGGCCTCTGGACTGCAGACACCTGTGGTCCTCCCTTTTGCCTCAGGTGGCCTCCGGGGCCTCCAGGTAAAGATGGCATCCTACCCCAGCCCCTCAGACCCCCTCAGTCCTCTTTCTCTCCTGCTGCTTCTCCCAGAAGCCCACTGTTAGGAAGTGGTGGGCCCTGGCACGAGGCTCTGCTCTTCTTCCTGTGGGCACAGAGGATCGTGACAGCTGTGGTGGCCGCCTGAGCTAGGACAAGCCTCCCTCAGGGCCAGGGGCAAAGGCACCCCAGGCACAGGCACCCCCAGCTGCCAGCACCCCTTCCTTATCACTTCTGGTCTGAGTCTCTGCTGCAGCCTGAGATGTGCCCTGGACCTCAGAGCTGGGGTACAGCTCCAGAAGCCCACGGCCCTCCCCGCTCTGGGACCAAGCTGCTGCCGCCCCTGCGGGCAGGAGCTGGGCCGGGGCCTCTGCCCCTCACCACCTACCCTGGAAAGGCAGGGAGCCGGCACACCTGCACTTGGGGCCTGGGCTCCCACTTTCTGTGCCCGTGGCTTCCCAGCACCTGGGGAGGGGCTGCGGCCCTGGCTGGACCCTAGGCTGTCGCCCTTGCACTCCCGCTGCCCCTTCAGGGCAGGGGCTGGAAACATCCCTTTGGGGCAAGCACCTCCACCGCCCCCCTTTGGGACCACCTTCTCTCAGTCCCTGAGCTCCTCAGGACCCTGGCGCTGGAGGGTCTCCCACCTGGAAGTCCCCCTGAGCCCCTGGGGCCCAGCCCCACCTGTCAGAGCTGCACGGGCGCCCAGGGGAGGGGGTGCCCGGCGAGTCATGTGTTTTGTCCCCAGTTAGCACCATTCTACAGCCTGGTTCTGTGAGGGGCCAGGGCTGCCCGCCGCCCGCCACCCACCGTCTGCCACTTAGGCTTCCTGATTCCATTAGTTCAACACTTGTGAAACTCCGAGAAGTGCTGTGGTCTCAGCAATGCACCTGTTTTGTACATGATTGTGTAATTTAAAGGTATATAAATACAAATATATATATATATAAGTTGTGACTGTACGACTGTGGATAAAATCCAGAACTGTGTCAACCTGGCTGGGCGTGCTCGTCTTGAGTTGCGTGCATCTTGGGTCCTGAGGGTTGTGAAGGCTCTTCGTATTGGACATCTGTCAGGGAGGCGGTCCCCCAGCAGGACAGGTGCTGTCCTGGCTGACCACCATGAGGCTGGGGGGCTGAGAGCTGGTCCCTTCACCTCCCAGGGTCTCAGATCCTGTCTATTCAGGGAGGTTATGCTGGAGGTTCTTGGGTACTGGTGCCTGGTGACAGGGAAAGTTGGGGCATTTAGGGTACCAAACTCATGGTCTAAGGGTGAACTCGGCCTCTGAATAGTTTGTTTATTTTTAAAGCAGAATTTTGAGAGCCAGCAGGGCATGGTGGTGCACACCTGTAATCCCAGCAGCTTGGGAGGCAGGAGGATCGAGAGTTTAGAGCCAGCCTCAGCAACTTAGTGAGGCCCTAAGCAACTCAGTGAGACCCTGTCTCTGAATAAAAATATGTTTTAAAGAGCTGGAGATGTGGCCCAGCTGTTGAGTGTCCCTGGGTTCGATTCCCAGTACCAAAAACAAAAAGAGAAAAACTATTCTGGAAGTGCAGGCTGGGGCCTGTGGTTCTAGCTGCCCAGGCCCAGGCTCCCTGGCCTAACAGCATGTTTGCTGAATGACGATGTTTCTCAGAGGCACCCTCAGGCCTTGCCGCAGCACTAACTCAGCCCCAGCCTGAGCTCCCCGACACCAGCTGCACCCCTGGTGGGTGTCTTGGGGGCAGAACAGGAGTCCCGGCCAGTCCTGTTCTACCACCAGTTCCCTGTGTTCCACCCCCGCCCTGGGTCTCAGCTCCCCCATCCAATGAGGTCTCTGAGGCCCCTCTGTCCTGGCAGCTGGGCAGGGGCCTGACACAGCCCCTCACCCCATCATCACCACCACCAGCCTCCTGCCCCCGGGCGTGCTCAGGACCAGGAGAGGTCGGATGGGGATCGCATCTACCCGCCGCCCGACTTCCTTACTCCCTGATCTACTTCCATTTGAAGCCTTGGTTTTAGCGGGAGGAATCTTCAAGTAAAGACAAGAAGTCACACTGTCCTGTTTGCGTAGACTGTTCCACTTAGTGATGGGCAGCCCTGGAGGCGCGCGCCTTGAGGAGAGGTCAGGGAGACCCCTGGCTGGGGGGGTGCTGATGGGGCGGCGTGTGGAGGGGGAAGAGGAGCCCACATGGCCCCTGTGGCCCCCCATGAGGTGTCACTGCCAAGTGTTCCTGTGCTGGGGCTGCCCCCTGAGGCCCCCAGGACCCCTCTTTCTGGAGCTGCTCCATCTCCCCACTCCTAGCCCTACTCCCCCACCCCTCCTGCTCCTGGGCCCGTCTGAGCTGAGGCCTGCCCAGGCCCTGGCCCAGCAAGGACATCCAAGCAGGTGGCTCCAAGACTGGGGGTAGGGAGGGCGGGCCGGAGACAAAACCAGTTCCGCAGAGCTGAGCCTGGTTCTGGCCAGGGCCCCAGTCTGCCCCCTCCCCCAGGGATGGGTGACAGCCAGGGCCCAGCGAGGCACAGGCCCGGGGCAGGGCCCCTCCTTCTCCAGGACCCATCCCAGCTGGCAGACGCTAGGGTGCTGTTTGCTCATGGCCAAGGTCAACTTCTCCTGAAGACAATGAAGCTGCTGGAGGCAGAAGGCAGGGGACGGGGCAGGACTTGACCCTGGTGGGCTGGTGGCGCTCCTTCCTGCTTGCTTTCTGGAAACCTGGCCTCAGAGGCAGAGGCTGTGGACACTGAGGATGCTGAGCAGTCATGGAACAGGAGGATGGAAGGACAGGAAGAGCCCTGTCCTTGGGGAGAGATGGACCAAGGTTCCCTTTCTGGTTCTGCTGCTACTCAGCTGTGTGATTGCAAGCCCGTGGCTTAATGGCTCTGAGCCTCAGTTGCATCATCTGCAAAATGGGGGCATGAATTCTGCTTCAAAGCTTTATTGGGACGGTCAATGATAAAAAAAAAAAAAAACAACAAAACAGCGGGAACACGTGGCACATGGTAGACACTTGGACACATAAGCTGGTGAGTCAATGTGGGCAGAGCATAAAGAAGCTAAGGGAAGGGCTGGGGCTGTCGCTTGGAAGTAGAGTGCTCGCCTGGCATGTGTGAGGCACTGGGTTCGATCCTCAGCATATAAAGAAAATAAAGATACTGTGTCCAAGTACAGCACATATATATATGAAGAAGCAGCAGCAGCTAAGGGAAGCCGGGTGCAGTGGCGCTCGCCTGTAATCCAGGAGCTCAGGAGGCTGAGGCAGGAGGAACACGAGTTCAAAGCCAGCCTCAACAAAACAAGGTGCTAAGCAACTCAGCAAGGCCCTGTCTCTAAATAAAATACAAAATGGGGCTGGGGATGTGGCTCAGTGGTTGAGTGGCCCTGATTTCAATCCCCGGTACCAAAAGAGAAGCTAAGGGAGCTACTTGCTCAGAAGAATGGACGGTGGGGCTGGTGACCCCCCAAATAAGCTCAGGTGCCCACAACCTCCCCAGCAATGGGTGCAGCTCTCATGCATTCTCACTGGGACTCACAGCCCTGCGGATGGCACTGATGTGGCCTTCAGGGGACAGAAACTTCGAGGAATTGACCTCTCTCCTACCATCTTCACAGAGCCAGTGTCCCATAAGGGGACTGAAGTGCCCACCCTCTCCCCTGTCCACCACGCTGCAGGTCCAGTGGCCTCAGCTGGCCTAGCAGAGATCAGGGCCCAGGGCTCCCTGCCACCGTCACAGGCTGCAGAGGACGCCCCCCTCTCCACAGGACACAGGCGGAGCCCCCTCGCCCCGGCCCTGCCTCCTGCCCTCAGCCCATCAGGAGGGAAAGATGAAGTGGCCGGTTCCAGACCCCCCTGGTCCTGGGGACTCACAGTTCATCCTGCACAAGCTTCTATCGGGCAATGCCAGCCCAATGCCACCACCCCCGGAAGCCTCCCCCACCACCCTAGACCCCTGGGACCTCAGCCTTTGGGCTGCAGACGGCCTCCAGGCTGCGCCATTCACTGCCACGACACTGGGGACCTGTCAGTTCACTCATGTCTTTATTATCCACTCCTGGGGTCACGTCTGACCCCCCAACTCCGGGCGCACCACAGAGGCATGGTGCGGAGGCGTGGCAGGGGATGTGGCAGAGAGAAGCGCAGCCCTGCCCGTGAACTTGGCCAAGTCCTCGCCATTCTGTGGGCTCTGCTCCACAATTCTGGGGTCAGAGGCTGGGTGGAGGGAGGCTCTCCCTCTCCCTCTGTCCTCCAGTGAGGCCCGAGGAGGAAGCACCCCCACCCAGGGGTCCAGGAGAGCTCACGTGGCCCTGGGAGCGCGGGCCATCCCCTTTCTGACCTTGGACTCCTACAGGCCAGCAGCACGCCGCCCGCCCCTTCTCCCCAGGCTCAGGCTCTGGCCCTGAGGGTGGTGTGAGGCCTGGGCCCTCCGCAGCCCTCAGATGGGGTGCACAAACTGGTAGACGAGGCGCTGGGAGACGTCGGGCTTGCGGATGATGCCCTTCTTGTAATACTGGCGGATGGAGCGGCTCAGCTTGTCGTAGTTCATGGCCGGCCGGTTCTTGCGGATGCCCCACAGCCGGGCCACCTGGGCAGAGTCCTCGATTTTGAAGATGCCTGGGGGAGCAGAAGGGCCCACGGAGAGTCAGTGGTGAGTGTGGGGACAGCAGCAAAAGACCACATCAACAGGTCAGTCTGCAAATCAAGGGAACGGGGCCCGGGCCCCCTTCAGCTCCAGGCCGGGCGGGGGCCAGGCTGCGGGGACCGTAACACCCCTGCCCCTGCCCCTGCGTGTGCTGAGGACTAAAGGAGCCTGGGACAGGCGCCACAGGCCCCCACGAATGGCCGAGGAGTCTAGGCAGGCTCCAGCCTCCCAGTGTGGCCTGGGAAATTGGTGGGGTCTTTGGGGATCCGCGAGTCTGGCCCTTGTCACACGGGCCACTCCTGTTGTGGAGATGGCATAGGATCCTGGAAGCCCTGCTGGGCCCCTTTCTGTGTGTGTGACACACTTGGCAAGATCTCCCGGCCCCTGCCACCCGCACCCCTGGACTTCCCACCCTGAAACGACCTCTGCCGTCTCTGATGGCCCAGCCACGCAGACCCTCCACACCAGGGTGGCCAGAGAGCAGGTCGGGAGCAGTCCCCAGGCTGGAGCCCCGGCCCGGCTGAGGCTCTTTGCCCCTGTCTATGGGACGGGGTGGCAGTGGAGCGGTGTTTAGAGAGGAGCCTGAGGAAGGGCCCTGGGGGACAAGCATTCCATTGTCACCACCCTCAGTCCTCGTCCCTCGGTCTCCAGTGCACACGGAGGCCCACACGCCCTGCGCAGGAGCTCTGCCCCACCACGGCTCATCCCTCTGCCCTCCTCTGAAGTCTTCCTGACCCACACAGCCGATCCCCTCCTTCTTAACAGTCCCCAAAAGGCCCCCACAAACCCCATTTCACTGCTGTTTTTCATACAAGACTGTGGGTCCCTTGAGGACAGAGTGTGGCTGTGCCCGCCCCACGCCCTCAGGACACTATAATTCTCTGTAAATGACCGAGCACAGGCACAGTCAGGGTAGGCCTCCGTGAGGCCCAGCCTCCCACAGTCAGGCTCCTTGGTTCTGGGTCTTGATGGAAACTCGCACTCGCCATCTAGCCCCGCGCTGTCCAATCCGGTGGCCACCAGGCACTGGTGGCTGTTGAGCGCTTGAAACGTGGCTGTCCACGTTGAGATGTGCCCAGAGTGTGAAGGACACACTAGGTTTCTAAGACATAGTCCAAAGCCTCAGTAGTTGCTTGTTTGTTACACGTTGAAATCACAGTGATTTACATCAGCAGATCAAATCCAGGCCGAGCAGCCTGTGAAATTCTTGGGATCGGAACTGTTCCAGATTTTGGAGTTTTTAGGATTTTTGGAATATTGGCGCCCGCTTTCCCCACTGGACATCCCTCATCTGAAAACCCCAAATCTGCCTCCCTCCTCCCCTCTTGGGGCCTCTCCTGAGTCACCAACTCCTCTCCTTGTCCCACAGCAGCCTGGAGGGAGCAGATTTCAGATTTTTGAATTAGGGATGCGCAACCTATATTATTAAAATTAAATCTGTTTTTATTTTCTTGTCTCTATATATATCTCTTTTCTTTTTGCAGAGCTGGGGATGGAACCCAGGCCTCAGGCATGCTACATCGGATACATCCCAAGCCCCAAATTTACATCTTTTTAAATATTCCAAAATGCAGCTGCTAGAAAATCTTAAGTTACAGCCAGGCATGGTGTCACACGCCTGTCATCCCAGCTGCTCAGAAGCCTGAGGCAGGAAGATCTTGAGTTCAAAGCCAGCCTTAGCAAAAGTGAGGCACTAAGCAATTCAGTGAGACTCTGTCTCTAAACCATAAGAAAAAGAGCTGGGGACGTGGCTCAGGGGTTAAGTTCCATATAGGATTCACATTGTGTCTGTTCCTGGGCATCTTTAGTCTCCTTTAGTGACGCTGTGACGTTTTGAGGACAAAGACTGAGGCTCCTTGTCAGCAAGCACCGTGCATTTCTGAGGATCCTAAACAGGACAGAGTCTAACCAGGAGACAGATGAGGTCACCATGGCAACCAGACCCTCCGTGGCAACTTTGGTATCCAGGGTGAACGTGGGGCAGCCCCTCCCCCCCAGGGCGCCCCCTCGCTCACCCTTCTCCTTGTTGAGCCACCGGATGAAGCGACCGTAGCTGTGGGGCTTGAGCAGCAGCTCCTTGAGGAACTGCCACAGGTGGATGGGCTGTCCAGAGCAGGACGAGTCCACCTCGCTGTCGGTCCAGCTCTCCTCGCTGTTGGAGGCTGGTGGCCAGGGAGGGGTGATGAGTGGGCAGCCACAGCAGCAGCCATCCGTGCCTCTGCGGCCCCTCAACCCGCCCGCACCCTGGCCTCCCTGCCCTGCCTGGCTCACCGCAGCAGTGAACGGCGCCCGGGGAGGTCCTCTCTTTCATCCAGGCCGCTGTGGGACAAGGAGAGGAGGTTGGTGACCCAGGAGAGGCCCCAGGAGGGGGGGAGGGAGGCGTGTGGGTAGGATTATGGGGGGTCCCTGCCGCTCCTTGCCTCCTGCCAACGTGCACAGTCAGGTTGCTTTTCCAGGAGCCGCTGGGTGAAGGTGTAGGGTTTCAGAGCTAAGCCGGAGGTGGAGGCCCTGCCTGTGCTGAGATGCAGAGGCCACAGAGGCCCTTGGAGGCTTTCCCTCTTCACTGGAGGGGCGGGGCACCCTGCGGAGGCCTGGCCTGGAGTGGGTGTGAGGTCTGCACCTTGCTCAGTGCAGGGCATCGCAAACACCAGCTCCTGCCCTCCAGCTGCCAAGTGCACCAAGCAGAGCCGCCCCAGCTCTCCACCTGGCCCTCTGGTCCCTCCTGGGTGAGGCAGCTGGCTAGTGACCAGGAGGTCACCACCCACCCACCAGGGGCCTGGGCTGGGCAGGCACAGGTCTCTGATGGAGTCCTGAGCGGGGCCTGTCCCCGTATTCATTGCAGGCCCCTAGGGACGGGTCGGGACTATTGAGCTAAAACCACATCCTCCAAAGTGCCGATCTGCACAGGACACACTGGTGTCCAAAGAGATGGGGACAACTGAAACACGCAGGGGTTGACAAATGGCCACCAAAGGAACAGGGCAGCTGTGTGTCTGCTGATGGGAAGCAGGTCTGACACACTGGAGCCAAGAGCAGTGTGACCCACAGGACTCCTTATGTTTTGTTTTGTTTTGTTTTGTTTTAATATTGTTTTAGTTGTTGGTAGATCTTATTTTACTTATTTATTTATCTGTGGTGCTGAGAATCGAACCCAGGGCTTCGCACATGCCAGGCAAGTGTGCTACCACAGAGCCCCAGCCCCAGCCCCTTGGTTTGGTTTTTGAGAGTTAAAACTACATTCGTACATTTGCTTGAAGATGCATAGACTTTCTCAGGAAAGATACCCCGGAAACTGGTGACAGTGGCTGCCACTGGGAAGCACTTAGCATTAAGGCCGGGGGTGGGCGGGGGGCTTACGCTCAAAGTATACTATTTACTATTTCTCACCATGGTCTTGATTTTTTAAAAAAATGTTTGCTTTTTAGTTGTAGTTGTACACAGTACCTTTATTTTATTTTTTAAATCTTTATGGGGTGCTGAGGATCAAACCCAGGGCTTTGCACGTGCTAGGTGAGCACTCTGCCGCTGTGGCCCAGCCTTTATTTTCTTTTTTTCAATGATGCTTGGGGATTGGAACCAGGGCCTTGTGGACATGCTAGGCCCACGTTCTACTGCTGAGCTACACCCCAGACCTTTTCTCTTTTTATTTTGAAAGAAGGTCCCCCTAAGTTACTGAGGCTGGCCTCCAACTTGTCATTCTCCTGCCTCAACCTCCTGAATGGCTGACCTCAAACTTTCGATCCTCCTGCCTCAGCCTCTGGAGTCGCTGGGATCACAGACGTGTGCTACCCCCCCCCCCCGCCTTACTGCGATTTTTTTTCTAAATGTGCCCATTTGTTACTTTATGACTTCTCTAATGGAAAATAAAGCAAAATAAACAAACTTTTAAAAGGATAAAGAAGGATTTCTCCCTATCCTCAGTCACCCTCGGCTCTGACACCCCGCGTCCCCTGGTCTAACCTTCTACCTTTTCCCTTCCGTGGGCTACAGTTCTCTGCCCTGGACCAGGCTGGGGGTGCTAATTGGATGAGATGTCCAGGGCCCAGGGAGGCTGCTGTCCCTGGGTAGAGATTCAGAGAGGGGGTTTGGTTTGGGCGGTCCTGGTCCAGGGCCATCTCTTGGCAGCATCCTGGCCTCACCCGCCCACTCGGCACCCCCGGCTTGCAGCCCTGAGGGGGGCCCCATGCGCCACGCACCTGATTTCCAGATGTCCAGGTGGGCGTGCAGCACGTCCCCGCCCAGGGGCGAGCGCTGGCGGAACTGCTCCTCCGACAGGGCGCACAGCTCCTTGCCGCCCAGGTCCTGGAAGGCCCTGCCCACGGGGGGCAGGCGGTACTGGTGCTCGGTCCACAGCAGCCACTTCTGCACGTTGCCGGGGCTCCAGCCCACGGGGTCTGCGTGGGAAGGGCCCCTCAGCTCGTGCTTAGGCGCCACCTAGGGGTGCCCCCACCCACGGGCACCCCACCCACAGCTGATTCACCCATGGGATACTGTGGCCTCGGGCCAGGCGTGCCTCGGATGGGGACAAGCCAGACTCAGACAGGCCTGGGGGGGGCCCTGTGGAAGCAGGCACCCCAGGAAGGAGGGGACGGAGGGGAGGAGCTGGGCCCTGGACCAAACTTGCTCAGGGAAGGGCCTGGCCTCTGCCCGGCCTCTCACCCAGGCCTCGGTCCCCCTGAACCCCTCTGGCCTCCAGAGGACCTTTCAGGGCAGCCCCAGCCCTGGCGGAGATGGTGACAATAAGCCAGAGACACCGGAGCTTCTCCCTAGACTCCCTAGACGCCTCTTGCCTTCCCCAGACAAGAGGAAAACCTAACCAGGAATGCGGGTGACAACCCCAACACCATCCCCGTCATCTTACAGAGAAGGACACTGACCTGACACCTCACAACGGGCGGGCTGCATAGTAGCTGCTCAATGGAAGAAAGAAACGGCCGGGGGCAGCTACAAGACTCGGGCCAGGAGGGGCACACTGGCTCGGTCCCAGTCTCCCGTGGGAAGCTGCCCTGGAGGGAGCCCGGGCTGGGTACAAAGATGGAGGCATCCAAGGGAACACCACGGCCCGAGGCCGTGCCCCAGCAGGTGACCTGCAGTCTAGGCTGCTCCCGCTTCATAAACCCATTTTCCTCCCGAGGTCAAAGCAATTTGTTTCTGTCCCCATTGTTCTGAGAGCCCGTCCCTCCCAGGCCGAGTGTGGGGGAGGAGGCGTCCTGGGAGAGGCTCTGCGTTGGGGCTGGCACAGGTGTTGGAAATAGTAAGACGGGGGGTGCCCCTGAGTGTGGGCACCCCTGGGGCACTGGGGGGCGGGGCTGGGTCAGAGAGATGTGTGACAACCCCCTTTCCCTTGTGAAAGCTGCAGGGTGAATAGGGACACTCAGACGCCAGCCCCCAGACAGAAGTGCCAGGGAGACGATGCACCAGGCACGAGACCCATGGTGACCACCCCAGGCCCGGCACACACATGCTGGGCCCCTTGTGTCCCCTCCTCCTCAGAGCCTCCTTGCCACCAGACCAGGGACACATTCTATTTGTGACCTGCTTTCCTCTCTGTAAGGTCAGTCCATGAACATAGTGACCTCGGTTCCCCAGTCCTAGAACAGGGCTGGCCTGGGAAGAAGCACCTGTGGTTGGATTTGTTCCACAGCTGTTTATTGAGCATCTGTTATGTTCAGGGTGCTATCCTAGGAACTAGGGCTCTGGAAATGAAGAATCAGAGGAAAACCCCTGCCTTTGTGGAGTGCATATCATAGTGGGGGACACACAGTCAACAAGAGAGGAAAGAAGCAGCATGTCAGACGGTCGGGCCCGCCGTGAGAGATCTAAAGAGAACTACGAGAGATAAGGAGAGTCAGAACATGGTCAGCAATTTCTTTCTTTCTTTCTTGGTACTGGGGGTTGAACTGAAGGATGCTTTACAACTGAACTGCATCCCCGGATTCTCTATTCTTTTTTTTTTTTTTTTTTGATTTTGAGACAAGGTCTTGCTAAGTTGCTGAGGCTGGCCTTGAATTTGCAATCCTCTTGCCTCAGCCTCCCAAGTTGCTGGAATTGTGGGCGTGTGCCACTGCACCTGGCCGTGGGCAACAATTCCAATAGAGGGACCAGAGAAGGCCTCATTGAGAGGGTGTCTGTCATCAGGACCTGAAGGAGCCCAGTAGGTATTTGAGGGAAGAGTATTCTATGCTGAGGGACCAGCAGGTGCAAAGTGGTGAGTGTCATGGGAACAGCGGACAGGCTGGTCTCTGGAGCAGAGTGAATGAGGGGACAGCAGAGATGAATCCCAGAGGAGGTGGGCCAGGTGACAGAGCCTGAATCCACTGGGGACACTGGGCAGAAACCCTCCCAGACCCGGCTTCAGCTGATGTGCCTTGTGGGCCGACTGTGTGAGGAGTGCCAGGTCCCTGGGGCCGCCTGGGGCTGGGGCAGGTGGCCTCACCCCGTCCAGTGGTGCCCACCCTGCCCTGCCCTGCCCTGCCCAGGGAGGCCGCTGACCTGCGGTGATGCTGAGCAGCCTGCAGGCCGTCTCGATGTCCTTGAGGACCTCGCCCACCACCATGGACTGCACCTGCTCCAGCGAGTGCTCCTCCAGGGCCAGCGCCCCCGGCCCCAGGTCCAGGCCGCCCCCCGGCGCCTGGCTGTCGATGACCGGGCACTGCTCGGGCTCCTCGGGCGGCTCCTCGTGAGCGCCGGCCGCGGGTCCTTTGGCGGCCCAGGTCCCGTCCTCGGGGTAGAGCATGTCAAAGTAGGAGAGGTAGAAGGCGGACAGGCCCTGGTCGGGGGTGGCCGGGCGGCGCGGGCTCCAGGCCCGTCTCTCGGGCGCGGCCCCCTTCTCCAGGCCGTCGGGGGGCAGCAGCAGGCAGCCGGGGGGCGCGGCGCTGGGGCTGGCGCTGCCCATGGCGCCGGGGCTCGGGCGGACAGCGGCGCCTGCGGAGCGAGAGGCAGAGTCAGCGTGGACCGTCCCGGGGCCGCTAAGCCGGTTAGGGACGAGGCCGGTGGGCAGTGGGCCCGGCCTGGGGGCTGGGCTTCTGGGTCACTGGGCAGCGAGGCCAGGTGGGAGGCGCAGGAGGAGCCCCACCGGGCAGATGAGCAAAGAAGGGCTGGACCGGAGCCCTTGATGTTCAGCCTGTCCTGCTAATCTAGCCTAAATCTTTCCTGCTGTAGCCAAGGTATTTTTTTTTTTTTTAATCCTGTCTTTTAAAATTTTGTTGATTTTTGTTTCCATGCTGGGGTTGGACCCATGCCACGTGGGTGCTCTGCCACCAAGCCTCACCTTCCGTCCTTCTATGCCGCCCTTGGCAGGGTGTGGAAGGAGGAGGTCACCCAAGGCAGCCCGCATCACCAGCCCTGGGAAAGAAGAGAGTCCCTCCCCGGGGTGGACACAGGAGCCCCCTGGCAAGTTGGGAGCTGTCCCTTCCCCTTCCCAGGGGCTGTCGGGGTGCGAACGGAGTCACAGGGAGCAGCTCTAAGTCGCCACCCCCGCGTCCTGGTTCCCCCCCTGCCTCACCCTTCCTTGGAAAGCGCTGCCCAGGGCCCCCAGCTCCCCAGCCCTCTGGGGTGGTGCCCAGTGCTGGGCTTTCCTGGTGGGTGACCGGGTGGCTCCAGAGAACAAGAGGGTCCTCGGCATCTCCATGCCCCCTCCTCACTGCTGCCCCAGGGCCCCCAGCCTCCGCTGGCCTAGGCACCAACTCAGAAGCCCCCCACGGCCAGCTGCCTGGGCTGCGTCAGACCACCCAGCTCGGGGGGTAGGGACAGGAGAGGTGAGTGTCCCTTAGGACACCAGGCTCCTGGGGACAGTGGGTGATGTGTGGGCCCGAGGCTCAGCACACATCAGACACAGGCGGAAGGTCCCCCGGGTGCTGCGGCGGAGGAGGAAGGGAAAGGACAGGAGGGACAGAGATGGCCAAGGGGCCAGGGCCGGGGGACTCGCCTCTTCCAGGCCAAGGGTCTCAGAATGTGGCGCCTGGACCAGCAGCAGCAGCAGCAGCACCTGGGAACTGGGTGGAGCCCCGAATCCTCAGGCCCCCTCACAGAGCCGGTGTCAGGAGCCCTGGGGCAGCTGGACGCCCACTCGCCGGGCCTCTCAGAGTTCAAGTTTGAGTTGCCCTTTCTTTTTGCACTGGGCCAATCCAGGGGCGCGTACCCACCGAGCCATATCACAGCCCTTTTTTTTTTTTTTTTTTTTTTTTTTTTTTTTTTTTTTTTTTTTTTTTTTTTTTTTTTTTTTTTTAAAGAGAGAGTGAGAGGAGAGGAGGGAGAGAGAGAGAGAATTTCCAACATTTTTTATTTCTTAGTTCTCGGCGGACACAACATCTTTGTTGGTATGTGGTGCTGGGGATCGAACCCGGGCCGCACGCATGCCAGGCGAGCGCGCTACCGCTTGAGCCACATTCCCAGCCCCTTATTTTTCATTTTGAGACGGGGTCTCACTAAGTTGTTGAGGCTGGGCTTGAGCTTGTGATCCTCCTGCCTCAGCCTCCTGAGCTGCTGGGATCACAGGCCTGCGCCACCACACCTGGCTTGAGTTGCTTTTTTAAAGGTATCTGGCCGGCAGGGAGAGGAGACTCATCTGAGGACTGATAGCTTCTTCCAGGGCCAAATTTATAGGAGTTTGCTGGGACAGCGTGGAGGGCGTGTTTCCCGGCCCATCCAGTGTGGACTGACCTGCTCAACCTCAGTGTGCACTTGGCCTTTGCCCCTGCAGGTGGAGCAAGGCAAAGAACCTGGCTTGAAATGATGTCCCTTCCTCTCCAGGTAGCAAAACTTGGTGAATGGGGCCCAGCTAGAATTTCAGCGCCCTCGACCCATTCCTCCTACTCAGTGCCCAACCTTCCCAACCTTCCATGGCAGCCCTACAGTTTCCTGCGGTAGCGAGAGGGCCAACAGGAGAGAAGGGTGTTCCCTTTGATTCTAACTCTTCCTTTCAAGGGCTCCTTTAAGTGACAAGGAAGAAGAGGTCAGGGTGGGTGGGGTGGGCAGGGACGGGGGGCTGGTGGTGGGGGACAGAGGGCAGGTCTGGAACCATTTCAAGTCCTTCTGTGCAAACACTCCTGTGTGCCATGGGCCCATGCTATTTACCCAGGCCGCGCCAACAGCCCTCGGTGCCCCTGGGCCCCCACCCCAGCCTGTGCCCACACCCTAACCCTAGGCAGCTCCACCCCCGAAGAGCCCCCACACCTTCTCCTCCACCTCCCGCGAGCCTCCCGCCCCGTCCACGTCCCCAGAACCCCCCGCCTGCCACGTTAGGGCAGCCTCTGCCAGCTCCCCGGGCCTCCTGCCAGGGAGGCGGCCTTCCCAAGAAACAGGAGGCTTCTTCCCTCGTGACCTCCTGTTTGCTCAGCCTTGGCCGCAGGTGGGAGGGGAGGCTGCGCGGGGGCCAGGGCACCGTGGCGGGGGTCGGGGGTGCGTCCTCACCTCGGCCAGGGGTCTGCACCGCCTCGCCCCTGAACCCACCCAGGACCTGCTGCCCACCAAGCCTGGGCCCCAGTTCTAGCACTTTCTGCGGAAACCCAAGTTGATGGTAAACTGCGGTGGAGGACGGTCCCCCCGGCGTCCAGGTCTGAGGGGCCTGGGCTGGCTGGCCAGGGGCAGGGCTGATGGGCCCCGCTGGGGTCCTGGCGCCCCACCCCCAGGTCGCAGGCTGGCTCGGGAGAGGAGTTTGCTGCACAGTGAGCCCCTGCCCAGTGCTGTCCCCAGGGTGTCCACTCACTACCCAAAGCTGGGGGACACACGCAAGGACCCTGACCCATAGGCGCAGACAGTGAGGCTGGGGGACTGCAGCTGGCCTGAGGTCGACGTGGTCGTGCGGGGACTCTGACCACTGGATGAGGAGGCCCGGCTCCTGCTCCGACGTCCCCCCCGCCCCCCCCCGTGGGGTCCTGTTCACCTCCTGATCACCTCCATCCCGCCCGGCCCCTCACTGCACCTCACTGTCAAGGTCATCCCCTCCAGCTCCTTGGTCATCTGCTCCCCTGGTCAGGAACCTGACCTGGCTCCCCACTGCCCGCCTGGCCCAGGGGCTGGGGCCATCTCTGAGCCACCTCTCACCCAGCCTCAGAGCCGAGGGGCCACCTGCTGTCACATGCTCAGGACTGTTCTCTAGGTGGAACAACCCGGCCACAGTGGGAAGGAGTCTGGTCTCTGGCAGGGTCTGGTCCAGAACCAGGGCCAACATGGCGACCCCACATGCAGACTCAAGGCATTTCCCACCGGGTCCCAGTGCTTCGGGCACAACTTGGCTCTTTTCACCTACGTCCTTGTCCCCCGACCAGGTTGCCCCTTCCTTCCCACCAGTCAGCTGCAGCGCTCCTCCCGCGGAGCCCCTCACAGCCCCCTCCAGCTTCCCGGGCCTGCACCGTGGGGTGGGCAGGTTGGCATCAGGGTAGGTCCCCAGTGGAGCTCCCCGTCCAGGGAGAAAGCTGGGCCCAGAGGGTGGTGGGGAGTTGCCTGCGGTCACACAGCAGGGCCAGGGCCAGACCAGGGGCCTCCTGACATCAGGGCCCCTGCTCCATGGGCCTGGGGTCCTGGTGTCTGCCAGGCCCTGGGGACACAGGCCCAGCCCTCCTTGCTGCCCGAGTCGCCCGGGGCCGCGTCTCCTGAGCGATGCCTCCAGTTCCCAAACCGCGAGCTGATCCTTGTGGATTAAGCCACCGTCAGGATTAAGGATCAGCATGTCCGGGCCCCTCCTGCCCCTGAGCCCCCGTCCCCCCTGAGACAAAGAAAGTGTGGCAACAGCTGGTGGAGGCCAAGGCCCAGAGACGGCCATCCCTGGGTCCATCTGCTGCCCGCAGTGGCAGGGTGGCCGCCAGGGGGATTAGCCCCTGAGCCCCTTGGCTTGCTCCTCCCTGTCCCCCAGGACGCCAGGCCGAGGAGGAGGCCCAGGGACCCAAAGGCAGGTTTGTGCGGCTGTTTCCCGTGTCCTCTCTGCCAACTCTCTGGGGCCAGAATGTGCCCTGGAGCCCTGCCTGTGGGTCCCCACCTCCCACACAGCCTGCTCCTCTCCTGGGAATGAGTCCCCTGGAGTCCCCTGCAGTCCCCTGGAGGCCTTGGATTGTGGTGTGGGGTCAGCATGCCCGGGCCCAACCAGGACACTGGAGCCCAGCCCAGGCCCCTGGAGAAGGGCACTCAGGAGCGTGGGCAGGGCAGGTGACAGCCACCCACCCCTCTGGCTCCCTGCTCAGCCCCCAGCCAGCCCAGGTGGAAGGGAGGGTCCCCTGGCTTCCCCCTGCAGCCCCCGCCCAGAGTCAGCCGCCCCCTTCAGCCCCTGAGCCAAGGCTGCGGTTTGAGTTGGGTTGGGGCCCAGCCAACAGCCACACGGCCCGCCTGGGCAGGGGGTGCCTGGGCCTGCGCCCCTACACCACGCGCCCCTGCAGCTGGTCAGCACCTTGGAGAGAAGCCGCGTGTCCCAGGCCGCTGCCCACAGCCCACTGGGTGGCCGCCGGCTCCTCTGACCCTCCTGCCGCCCCCGCTCCGCGAGGCCCTGCCTCCCGGGGTGCCCCAGGGTCCTTCCGAACTGCCCCTCAGACCTTAGCGCCCGCCCCGCTGCCCGGGTGCCAGCCTCTGCTCACTGGGGAGGGTGCCCTGGGGCCTGGGCAGGTCCAGGATGGGCCTTCCCTCCAGCACCTGCTGCGGCCATCCCCACGCTCCTGCTGCCTGTCCTCAGGGCCTCAGGGCAGAGGGGATGGAGGGTCCCTGGAGCGGGGAGGGGCTCACCTGCCCTGGACGCAGCAGGAGAGGAGGGCAGGGGCTCCCCCTGGGCCCTGGAGCCCACCCATCTGCACCCCAGGCAGGCCGCCCACTGCGTCCTGCAGGAGTCGTGCTCCGTGGGAGGGTCCCCCTGGGGCTGGGTGTGCAGAGAGGCCATGTCGGGGCGGGAGGGTGGGTGGGAGCCAGGGGGAG